CAGAAGAATGACAACAGTGCCACTAGAATTGGTGAGCTGCGCAGTATCTCAAGCAAAGAGGCTACAAGATCTTTCACAGTCTAGTAAGGAAGATTATATACTGACTCTGCCTAATCCCCCGTGCAGCCCTTCATGTACTGTACTTTACACCAACCACTGATCTCTATAGGAGTTTTCCCACTCTGACGCAACAAAAGGAAGCATACTTCGAAGTGGTAGATGACTGTCAGTCATATGCAAGAAGTCTTTTCGAGAATCTGTAGAGATAGTTTGATTGCTAGTCGTCGATTGATTTGACACGATCTGTGCATTAGATCTAAGGAACGTGGTTTTGATTGGAGAATGGATCAAACATGGACAATAGATCTAGTTGTGCATCTTTCCTAAAAGTTTCACCCAACAAGGGGCGACGTTAAGTTGTTGCTTTTTAGCAATGTGATTCAGTTTCCTCCAGCTAATTGGTCACCCTTGTTTTCCGATACCAGTCAGAGGTACCTAAAGTAAACTCTCTAGTCAATTATTCAGGCCTCATTTCCGTTTTATCTTTTGATGTACATGCAGCTTTCCACAGCCTTAATCGGAAATCGCGGATCGTAAATAGTGCAGTGCTCGTCACAGAAGCAGCTTTTTGCTTACCGCTTCAGAATGATAAAAGCCTCAACGAAACTATTGCAAACGCATTCGAACTTGGTGTTACTCATTCCATCAACTCAACCCACTTATAACAAACTATATTTACAAACGCAGACGAAACACCTTCAATCAATGAATACGTTCCATACATCAAGAATGGACCCATTATCATAGGGGTCATCATCATCATTGTACACTATCACGACAAGACTGCACCTTGACGTGGTGTGATGGTTTGTGTGCCTCATTGACCCTGCGAGCTATACAGGATGGCTTCTCACAGCCGTAGATCCAATCATGCCTGAAAGGTCAATGGGTAGAGGCCAGACGAAGCTGTCTCACAAAGGCAGCTGCTTGGGCACCTCCTGGATTCCTTCCTTCTATCTACACCCGCCCCTGGAAAGGGCACTCCAGTAAATAAACACGGTGAGAGACAGTATACCGGTCAAAATAAAACCGTTAGATGGACGTATGAACGAGGAACCTGGGGCTTCCTCTCGATGGTGGGAGAAGTCTTCGCACTTCATTGGACAGCTACCATCCGCCCAAGCTTGGCAGCCCCTAGCCAATAAGGTGCTGTCGCTTCCACGTTCCGCTTGTCTCATTGGGTGCATGAGGCTAAGGGCCGATCTCGAAAAGCGGATCGACAATCAACGCACCAGCGAACAACAAACCTAACCGAAATTCAAAGGCCTTGCGTGACAGGTCTCTAGAAGCTCCCACACGGGTGCTTCGTTCACACTCCCGCGTTGGATTCACGCCCCACTGCCTTATGGGTCGGACTTTTGAGTCAAAGGCTCCAGTTAGTATTCCCAGAGAAAAACCCCTTCGTCGGTGTGGGCAGCCGCGAAGTATACCGTGCCCATTTGGAAAACCATCTTTCCCATCTGTCTAGTCCTTCTTCGCAATCCAGAATATTCCCAGGTGCCTCCTGCTTGCGATACCCATCGCTTATCAGTCAGCGTTCAACTAACAAGGTCAACCACTCAGAGGCTACCAGATTTTTGAACCCAAAATCCCTTTTTCACTTAGCCACATTCCATGTCCGCATACTTTACCAGATCGGTCAACAAGCCGCCTTAGCTAGAACCCCTGAAACGTTCCATCTAGATGTATGCTGTCTCCGAAACACGCAAACAAGACCCTAGTTCAGTTATCTCCCTCCGTTCTCCAGACCCAGCCTCATCCTCACGCTTCACCCTCCGTGTGTCAGGCGATTCGGACCCGAAGCTCGCGGTGTTCCTGGTGTTGGGATTGCACTGTGTCACAGCCGAGCGTTCACTTCTCGATTGGATCCCGGTTAACAGCCGACTTTGCGCCGTACGTCTGGATGGTTCAGTACGAGTCAACAGCTAAAGAACGAAGCGTCGATGCCTATTCGTCTTATCCGTGTATGCATCGACAGACTGCAGTTCACGAGAAATGAAGGATGAATTCTACAAGGACCTCTCTTAACTGCTCCAAAGTGCTCGGTCAACGGACATCGTGGTAGTCGATGGAGACTTTAATGCTGAAGTGGGATCCCTGGACGAATCAGAGAGGTTACTTGGCGGTTCGCATGCAATCCCAATCAACAGGACTGACAACGAAGAACGCCTACTCCGATTTTGTGCCGACCACGGACTGTTTCTATCAAGCACGAACTTCTAGCACAAAAAAACGGCACCGCCAACTTCTTCACAGCGCTAGACTCAAATCGACCACATCGCCATCAGCCACCGCTGGAGAGGATCCATTGAAGACTGCCGCTCCTACTGGTCAACACCCGTGGACCATGCTCTGCTACGAGCGAGATTCTCCCTACGCCTAATAAAGAACCGCAGCATGAGCCGCCGAAAACGGATGCCCACAATACAGTACCACCGACAGTTGCAAATCGGCCTTCGAGGCGGAACTATCAGACCGCCTCTCAGCTCAATTATCATCCGGAGGACTCAGTGAACATTAGACGACAATCAAAGAAGCGATTCAAATGTCGATAAAAACAACGGCAAATTCCGGTGCATGATTAAATAAAAAGCGGTGGATCTTCCCGACCCCGGTTGCCCTGCTGGACGCTCGCAGAGCCACTCCTTCGGATTCAAACTACAAGGCGCGCGAATCCCTTAAACGCCAGCTCATCAAGAGTCTCAGGAATGACCGCGAGAAGTGGTGGGTAGGAAAGTGTAGAGAGATGGAGAAGGCTGCGGCTATTGGTAATAGTCGCAATCTTTTTCGTTTAATTAGGAGTAAAGGACCAAGGAAGGCAGGCGTAAGTGAGGTAATTAATGAGTCTGACGGCACACTGATTCAAATTCAGGAACGTCATCTTAAACGTTGGGCAGAACATTGTAAGGCACAGTTCAGCTGGTCCCCTTCGACACAAGACCTTCCCCTACCCGGTTCAACTGTGCAGATACTACCAGTTGACATCAGTCCTCCATCTGAAATGAAGTCACCCGGGAAATAAGTTACCTCAAGCGACATAAGGCTCCCGGCCCCGACGGGCTGTTCCCGTCCGTTTTTAAAGATCGAGGTCCAGCCTTGGTTTTGTAGTTAACGAAACTCCTGGGTTCAGTGTGGGAAAAGAAACAGGTTCCAGCTGAATGGTGCGAATAAGTGATCATACCGATTTACAAGAAAGGTGACAGATCCTCCTGTGAAAACCACAGAGGAATCAGTTTAATCAACATCGTCTCTAAACTTCTCGCTGGCATCATACTCCATCGATTGTCTGCCACACGTGAACGGTGCACGCGTGAGAACCAGGCTGGTTTAAAACCTAGTCGAGGTTGTATCGACTAAATTTTCACTCTTCGCCAAACTCTGGAACACCGACATTCTTTTCGTAGACCTACCAACTCTGTCTTCCTCGATCCGAAAGCGGCTTTTGATTCAGTCGACCGCTCTAAACTCTGGTGGTGCCTTTCCCTGAAGGGAGTGCTCGAGAAGTTAATCGCAATATTACAATTCCCTTATATTAATAACCGAAGCCGAGTCCGAGACACTTTTCACCCGAGTTCACTACAGATAGTGATGTTCGACGAGGTTGCCCTCTCTTTTCATTTCTATTTAACTTTGTTACAGATTTGATTCTTAAAACAGCCCTATCCTTGTGAGAGGATAGCGGTATCGATTTACTGCCAGGTGGCAGACCGTCTGATCTAGAATATGCAGACGACATTGTGCTACAAAATGAAGATTCAGGTAAGTTGCAAACTTTTTTGGATAGTTTGAATGCTAGTGTATCCATGTTCGGTATGCGTTTTTCACCTTCAAAGTATAAAATGCTAATACAAGATTGGTTTGGTCCAGCACCCAGTCTCACCCTAACTGGAGAAGTAGTAGAGGAAGTAGAGAAATTTTGCTATCTGGGCGGCTATATCTCACTTGCCGGACGTATNGTGTCGGCGCGGATACAAAAGGCTCGATTGGCACTTGCCAACTTGAGACATTTATGGTGCTGTCGCCACATCCGGCTCTCTGTGAAGGGTCGAGTGTATGCTGCAGTAGTTCGACCAGTCCTTCTCCACGATGCAGAGACCTGGCCTTTACGGGAACAGGATAAAAATAGGTTATCGGTGTTCAAACACCACTATCTACGTCGCATTGCAAGAGTCTGGTCGGGTAACCGAATCAGCAATGCTGAGGTTAGGCGTAGAGTTTTAGGCAGTCGCGGTCGTCCACTGGAGCAAGTGATCGACCTGCATGGATTACGTTGGTTGGGGCATGTGTTACGCAGGTCACCAAATAGCTTGCCGCGGCGAGCGATGTTTGCCAAGGCTGGTAGCGGTTGGAAAAAGATCAAGGGCAGTCAAACTAAGACCTGACATGAGGGTATGAAAACCCTAACCAGGAAACTAGGTCACATACACCCCGTTAGGCTTCCTGGCTGGGGACCTCGGGATGATGGTCACAGATGGTTGAAGACACTGAATGATATGGTTGGGTGTCGCAAACTGGCGCTCGTGCATCCACTCATTATTCCCCTAGCACTATTTCTATATGAATTCTCCATTTTCCGCTTGAATTTGCTTTCAACATTCCCCTCTTCAATCTGCTTGCTATCCAAATGGGGCACCAAAAGACAGCAACCAAAACCGGCGCACGAAAGTGCATGGTTCATGGTTGTAAAAACTGAAACTGAAACATCATTGTACAACGAAATACAGTGAAGCAGACTTCACTGATCGCTGCCAAAATAGATCCAATTCCTGTCCATCTTAAATTTCACCACTAACCTTGTATGCATTGCGAGCTTGGCAGAGATCAGTGAAGTTCGCTTCACTGTATTTCATATCATAGGGGTGGTAATATTTATTTGAAGGGTCGGATCAGGATCCTTCAAACCAACCTTGTAGTCGGGATTGCTCGATAGAACGACGCAGCAGTTAAAAGCACTGGCATGACCACGGAGCCAAATACTAACCTCATTAAGCCATCTATCAGATTTCGTCAGATTTAGGTCTTAGGTTGAACGAATTACGCTCCAACACTACAATCGTGTACTTAACAGCATAGAACAATTGAGAACAGAGGATTTCTCAGATTTAGATCAACTGAATGATTTCGGAAAACCGATCACAAAACTGGATCTTTGTGTACTACGACTGGATTCAGTGGGGAGCACGATGACGTCATGACTGAGTCTTCAAGCCTCGCGGATCCGGAAGGGTTAGTTACAAATATTGGGTTCATGAACAAGACGGTACATTAATCGCTCAGTACTATTATTACAACGATAATAAGTATTACACAAAGTAAATGCCAAAAAGAAACATCAAAGGAGAATCAGTGGCTTCAAACTCAAAACTCGGAGACACCCACATCTGAGATTTCCATACAAGTTCAAAATAAGCCTTTTGGTCGGTCTCTACAAACATTCTGATTAAACCTCTGTATTCCGTGGTTGATATTTTATAACCCCCCTTTACCAGAGTGATGATCTCAAACATTATTCAAAGGAGAGACTTAGTAGGTGGCCTCGGACAAACTGTTCATTGAGGCACAAAATTAAGGCAAGCAATATAATCTTTTTAGCAATAGCAACGATTTTACAATAAAAAGACTACTTTGGAGGGAATTTGACGACTGCTAGACTATGCACTGTTTTGAAAGCTTCTAGGCCTATAATTTCCACTAAGTATCACGATGCAGGCATGCACAATGGAAGCGTGAACACTGCAAAATGGTGGGGCGGAACCCAAGTAAGGCCCTAATGTCATCGTGCAAAGGCGATGAAAATGCAACCGAAAACTTTGCGTAAACCCATCAGTTATTTCAAACTATTTCACAACGAAAATGTATTAGTTTTGCACTGAAATAGCCCACAGAAATCAGGAAAACTCGCCTTAATTGCTCTTCTGTAGCGATCCATCTGTAAAATGAAATCAAGGGGGTTGCCCATCGTTTATTTGAGGTACAGCTTTAAAATGATGGTTTGAATATTTCCGAAAAAGTTATCACTGCATAAAAATACGCCACGATGGATTATAGGTGGTTGCCTATCCCCCACCCCATCCCCGAACTAACCTGAACAGAAAGTGAAGACGTCTCCTCGGTCTCACCAGTGGAAAGAAGTTCAAGGTCTTTAAGTCCATTTTGCCAAAATTCATGACGAATTAGAGTGTTTGGCGCAATCCTTTTTGAACTAGACTTCGTTAAAAGGCTGCTGATGAGTGCGAGGAGAGAAAACGAGGGCTTCTTCCCAGGGATTTTCAATGTAGGAGGCTCATGATGAAGTATGTTGTCAGTCAACTGAAAAACAAACAAAAAATATTTCAATAGACAGCTCGAGACATGCTTTTAATACATTGTAACCGAGCAATAGGCCTACATCAGATGATGAGTATGACTCAGTATCCTTTGTATTTCATTATATTCTCTATTGACAGTAGTGATGAGTTTTTTAATAAAAAAACTAATTGGCAACAGACTTGATTAGTTAGAGCGAAAAAGTTAATAAGCACAAAGATCTGTGTTGCGAATGGCCTGCTGAGTAAGTATAAACAAAGCAATATTAATAAATGCATAGTACGGTCTGAAAGAAGTCACGACTAACTTTAAATTATTAACGACAACCAAACTTCATCTTACCACTTCTATGGTTTCACCCATAAAGGGGATAGTGCCACAAGACATATGATACAAAAGACATCCAAGTCCCCAGTAATCCGAAGACGTTGTAATAGCAGAGCCCTTGAGTCTCTCTGGGGACGTGTATGAAGTTATTCTATTACATTCGTATCCATTATTATGTTGATTGAATTCATCTTCGTCACTAAATCGGGCTAGAACTTCTTCCAATGATTCCTTCTCCAAATGAGCAAGAGAGAAATCAAACAGTTTAACATTGCCATGACCATCTAGGAGAAACTTTACGAAAATGAAGAACAACTCAGTATCTTACTCTGGCTGGATTCGTGTCATTGAAGATAACACCCCGGGAATGAATGTACTGAAGTCCTCTGACGATATCTGACCCGAATTTTCGGACAACGTTTTCCGGCAAGAAACCATCCTCTTTTATAACTTGTTCAAGACTACCACCCGTGCACAATTCCATGACCAGCCATAAGTGATTGCTCGTTTCATACCATTCGTGAAACTGAAGAATATTTCTATGGCTTAGAACATGCACAAATCGCACATGGTTCGATATTAAAGGACGACGATGCCTATCAGTACAACAAATCGCTAGATATTTTATTGTCCCTTTGCGACGAGCTTTATAGATGGTCTGCTCATTAGCTTTCCCAAGTTCATCATACAAAACAAAATTCTCCATCGCTCTGCGTCAATGAGGACATAGATCTCCACAAATAATTCTTCGGCGATTCAAATCTGATGAAAAACACGGGGACCAACACAGTCAATTCCAGCGCCAACAACAGGTGACCTTGAGATCAGTTCAGGTCAGGTCACGTTGCACAGGACTGATACTGGCCACAGGCGAATCACGCGTCCAGAATACCTTCGGTGGTATGCCCTCGAGTGTGCGTCCACCTCAGCGATTGATGGGTTTCTCCTCCTATCTGCAAACAGAGAGAAAGAGAGACTTTACTTCTCGCCGTGTCGGCGAGAGACCTTTGTTGTTGAAGCATTCCACATGACGCAAAAACAATTTACGC